CTCTTGCACCACGTTTACCAAGGAATACGGCTTTTGTGACGCTCTGATATACTTGCATGTTCGCATTCTATGTCTATATCCGTTTAAGTTTGGCACTAGTGACTGCCTGCAAATTGGGCCTCAAACCGCTTCTCTTTGGAACCTTTCCTTATGTCGTTTGATGTATAACGTATCCAACACTCATTTTCGTCACCAGGCCTAGGGCCTAGGGTGCCTCTGGGGCCTGCACAGTGACATACAAAGGCCCGAAAGAAAGTTTAAGAAAGCAATCCACAAACAATACGACTTAGGAAAGAACCTCCTTCTTCCCACAAGCGTCCCACATTTAGATGTGTTTCTTCTGTTTCAGGCACCATACATCTGTTCTTCTTGATCTCGCCGTTGATGTAGACAGCGGTATTGCAGGTGATCTCAGTGATGCTTTGGATCCAACCATTCTTTATTTAAGGATCAGCAACGGTCAGTTGTCCGTTCAACTGTAACTCTTCCTTGGGCTCAATGGAGCGCAGAAAGTCCATCAAAACGAAACTCCAAATGTTGTCGAAGCAGCTGGGATGTCAATCGACCAGAAAAAGAAGGTTGTCCAAAAGATTGCATACAGAGTATCTGCTCCAGAATCCTTGGTGGAAAGGGAACAGTAAACTCTTGCAGGACGTCACAGTTGCACTCCACAAATGTGGAATGTCACCTCTACGGCCGGGAATTAGAACTCCTGCGGTTTCCAGTAGAAGCACCTGTACTTTCAGTCGCAAAGTCAAGTGCTCAGAGATGCTATATAATGGCAATTGAGAATTCTTTTAGGATAATATTCAAAAACAGAAAAGCAAATTTGCAAACATGTGGTAAATGGCAATCAAAGCCTGCTTCGTCAAGCAGATTCGTCGCAGCCAGGATTCGCCAGAAGGCCACCTTCCATCCTAGGTGCCCCAAGGTTGATGGTCCCAACCCTCAAAAATGCCAGGAAAGGGCATCGCTCACTAGTAGCTCCTGGCATCGCTACTAGTAACAAGGGCATCGCTACTAGTAGCTCCTTGTTTATGTGTAAAGCATGCTTAGGCATCTTGTCCATATTGTTTAATATGCATTAAGCTCTTGTGATGGCACTTCTTCCTTTGGTGGGACTTTGTGGGTGTCTTGCTTCACCACGTTTGTTAACTTCAAGCTTTCCGAAGCCGAAGATGGCGATGCCTCAAACTACTGCAAGTTCAATCTAATCTTAGACCAAGGTGATTCTCTAGCAGTGGAAGATCCTTAGAGCTTGTATCGTCAGGTCTTTTTTCGAAGTGTTGCCAAGGATCCGGACTCCCTACATCAGCTTCCCAAGCCAAAGACACTGGCATGGTGAAAGCATCTAGCCTGGGTCAGAAAGAACTTCCAGGAAACATTCACCCAATCAAATTTTCATATGTCGACTTTTCTGTCACGCATGTCGTAGCCTCCGACACATGCTCCAAGCAACAAGGTGATCAGAACAGAAAAGCCATCCCACATCAGTCTGAAGTAGCCTCAAGCAACCAAGATTTGCCATGTGACGAGCATCCATGTAGATATTTAGGCAGGCAGTGGCTGCCATGCACAGAGAGAGAGAGAGAGAGAGTATTCGTTCAATATCAAGAAAGGACGCAGCGAATAAAGTGCAAGATTCCTCATCATTTTCAGGTAGGGCAGCCAAACCCTGTACACTCCAAGGACATCCATCCAAGGACTATTTCTTGTGCCTGAAGGGTGCCAAAGTGGAATTCCAGCGCCGGCTTCTTCGAGCAGTTCCAGTGTGGAATTCCGATGAGCTCTCACGGCCGCCCTGCAGGACAGCTTCAATCAAATGGGATTGTGTGCTTCTGCCATACTTTGCCAGCGCAAAACTTCAGACCTGGGGTAAAGAAAGAGTGAGAAAACATACATGCCTCACATGACTCTGTGTCCAAAGTGTTGCACTGCCTGGCTGGTCTTGCTTCAAGGTTCCCCTGAGCAGCGAATTGAGTGGAGAGTTCCATCCACCTCACGCGAAAAAGAAGAGTACACGCACAAAAACACCTCGCTTCATCTCCGTGTTCAGCTCCAAGCAGTTTTGTTGGATCAGCGTACCAGATTCCTCTTTGTCAAAACAAGTACCAGATATCTGTCGATATGTATATAGTGTATGTGTAGTGTAGTGTAGGCCATTACTACTTTTGGTCCTGGTCCTGAGGCGATTAGAAGGTGTGGATTGACTTGAAATGAGCCTATGTGCTCATGTGCTCTTCATCTTCTTTGTTGTGAACCCTCCATGCAACATTCTCCAACAAATTTCACGGCAACCAGCAACTCTGCGCCTGCCGTGCAGACGGATATCATTGCTGCCATCTCGGCCACCAACAGAAGCACCATAACGGCGCGACATGAGCCTCATTTTCTCCTGGAAATGTTCCTTCAATTGATGTTAGAGACCACGTCGTTAACAGAGCATCACCAGTACTTTGGAAAAAGAAAACTGGCTTATTGTTTCATTGATACCAATGCCAATGACTGCCAAATTCTACGGCGAAACATCAGTGGCGTGAGTAAACCCAGTCCTTCTTCTCATCGCCTTTCTTGGCTTTCACCTGTCGCCGTTTCACCAACACCTCCGGCTCCTGGCAAAATATCAACTTGGGTTGGGCCGCAGGTTCTTAAAAAGACATGTGACATCAGGACCACGTGTTGACCACTTGGTCTCCAAGTAAACTGAAACCTTGTTACTAGTACCGATGCCCTTGTTACTAGTAGCTTCTTGTTCCTAGTAGTAAGGCCAGGAGCTACTAGACTAGTAGCGTCCTTGTTACTAGTAGCGATGCCCTTTGGGCACCTTGGCCAAGTCTAGGGCTTCTTTGGAGCCCATGGACTTCAAGCCCCGGGTGCGTCTGATCTCTGGAGCGATTGGTCCAGCCTGGCAGAGGAGAAACGGGAAAGGACCGCACGGCAGGTCTCAAAGACTAGGGAGCATGGAGGTAGCTAGGCAGCTGGGCAGCTGGGCACCCTACAGAAAGGCGCATCCCAGCCTGAATGACCTTCTGCAGCTCTGCAATCTTGCCATGCACGTTGTCCACCAAAGTTTCCTGAAGCAAAGTCGGACAGCTGGCACAAGGGCATTCTCATGATGATTGCTTGTTCAGGTCAGAGGTCAAAGCTCCAAACATCATGCAAGGTGGCCAGTTGCCTGTCGGGCGCAAGATAAGCTGCTTAGCCATGCTTAGCCATCATCCAAGCCCCCGCAAGCCGCTGAGATCAGCTTAGCCCTCTTGCGCCAAGCAGCAAATTCCATCTTCATGGAAAGCACCACGTCAATGGGCTCCAAAACTTCGGGGATCTGAAAGCGCTTGAAGCGTTGACACGCTGAATGGGCCAAGAAAACAAAGGAAAGCCCAAATCACAGGTTTCAAGGGATGATTCGGACAATGCATGCAATCTTTTAGAGTTTGAGAGCTTTCTTGACCCTGAAGGCCCAAAGGCTTTGGTACCCTGCCTGAGGAGCTGCTGAGTCCGAGGTTGCATCTTCCTCCTCATCGAGCTCAACCTAAGCTGCTCAGATCCAACACCTTCCCAACGAAAAAAGAAGGCGGATCGGATAGGAGGCTTGAGTCTGACTCCATCAAATGGAATATGTCGTGGCACGGCAAGTAAGTGCCAAGTGCCAAAACCAAGATAAGAAGACAAAGTACCATAGACCTGCCCTGAGCCTCTTGTGTTCACCTTGAAAGTATCGACCAGATTTGAACTCCTCTTCATACACCAATCCTCTGACCAGCCAGGCGTTTCAAACACAATTATTGGATTGATGGATGCACAAGCCAAAACCTACAAATTAAAGGGCACAGAACCGCAAACCACAAACCATACAAAATTGCTTCGGGTCCATGCGATGGGTTGTGAGTGGACAGGCGTGGAAAGCAGCCTGGGACAGTGCATGTGTTGGGTGAGAAGGTGGAAACGAAAGCCAGTGGAAGCGCAGAGCCCCACGTAGGAAACAGCTGCCGAAAAGACTTCAAATGCAAACATTCAATACACATAAAAACTGAATGGTGTCCTTAGAGCAGGTTGCTGATGCAAATGATGCACTAACCATTCACCTTGCATTTTCTGCATCACCAACCTGACAAAAATAACCTCGTTGACAAAGTAAAAACACCAGCAGCCTGGCAGGCTTACATGGCTTACATCCACTTCGGCGGAATTGGGTCAGGCGGTAAGGACGCCTGCGCTTGGTGCGCCATTCCACCCGGCCTGCCCCCACTAAAGACTCACTTCGTTCACAGAAGATAACTTCAGCCTAGCCTATCGGCTGGCTTTCGTGATAAAACGAGATCATCCCAGTCTGCAGGAAAGGCTGGGGATGTAACCATATCAAAAATATGCTAGACCGATGCAAGAATGCCGTGGTCCGATGCCCAAACAGGACTGGACTTCTCCGGAAGGCCACTCGCATTCTGGGGTGCAAAGTTGTGTGTGTGTGTGTGTCACCGCCCGAAAGAAACCTGACTAAGACAGCCAAAGTGCCTCCAGCACTTCTTCACGCTCAGCTCCCTCGTCCTCGCTTATTCTGGGCATCGGCATGGCTACAGTGGCTCGATAGGCCTTGGGCCAGAAAGAGACGTCTCGTGCCCTATGACTCTGATCACTCGCTTTAGGAAACACACCGGGGATTCTGCAATTTTCATCCTGGTTGATGTCATAATGCTTCTTGTCTTACGTGTCCCTTTTTGCGCTGTGTTGTGCCCTTCTTTGAGCCAAAATAATGGGTACATGGGAGTGCTTGAACCTGGGGCCCTTTCCCGCTTCAGGGGGTTAAACGGTTAAGCACTCCTCTTGCAGCAACTTCATTGGGTGTCCTACTAAGACAAAGTGTGCTTGCAATGTGCATCCTGCATGTATGTAGAAACTCTGGTAGAACCTCAAAGTCTTGGAGTCTTGGCAAGCTGAAGTATGTAAGTTGAGTAAGTAGAGCTCTGCAATTGCTGGTCATATCGAAAATTGCTTGCACCCACCTCGTCATCTTGACATTCTTGAGCCTGGAGGAATTTCTCCAGTTCTCACATCTTGAAGCAAGCTTCAACAGCCAGAACAGCCAACAAGAAAAAAAAGACAATGTTGTCAGTTGTCTCTCTGTCTCAGAAAACCATGGTCCCATGTTGTCAATGTTCAGTGTCCTTAAGAGTTGAAATCAGGCCCTGACTTCACTTGAGTCTCTATATTTCTTCGCGCCTTTCTGACTTCGCCCCGCCCAGAAAGAAAAAAAACACCGCATCCCACGGCCCAGTCCGTCTGAAGCATCCAGGGTGGGAAGCAGCTTTCAGTGAGCCTGGAGAGTGCAGCTCTGAGAGACTCGGCCAAGGTCCAAGAGGCCAAGAGGTTTATGCTGTGAAGCAAGATGCTTAAACAGCTAGTGGTTCTTCACAATCTCTGTTAGTCTAGAGGATGGCATCACACTTTCAGCCTCTCCATCATGGCCAGGTGCTCTGCGCTTTCATGCCTCACAGCACCCATCACTGATTGACATGTTTGGTAAAATGGAAAAGCTCCTTTCTTGAAAAGGTTGAGAAAGACTCCTCCCTATTCACAAATGTTGACAAGCATCCACAAATCACATGAAAAGTTGTTTGCTGAATATGTGCCCAAAAGTTGAGCCGTTGGGCCAAACTCCAAGCTGCCAGAATGACATGCTCTGCAATCAACAACTACTGTAAGCTCCTGGCACGCTGAAGGGTCGCTTGCCAAAGTACAGCATGTAAATAACACAACCTGCCAGTGGGATTTCTTGGACAAAACGTCTCAACTGGAAAGGAGGCGACATTTGATGTTGGAGTGATGCCTTGAAACCGGAGTGTACACCTAGCACACCACCGTTCTCTTCTTGCTCAACAGCCGAGGGCAGCCGACCGTTGTGCAGCTTTTTGGATCGTGAGGCTTCTTGAAAGCTGTACATGACGTTTCGATGCCTCTTGCTACATTCATCATGGCAGGAAAAACTGCGAAAATCATGCAAAAGTCAACGTCTACACCCCTTCAATCCACCAAGGTCGAAGGCCACTTCTCCAAGCAGTCTCCTGCACTCGAGTGGCACTCTTCGGAAGGTCTCTCCTGTTTGGATGCATCTTGTGGATCTTATCTAGGCGGACGAGCTTGCCATCTATTTACAGTGGGCTGTGAGTGATCAAGTGACCTAAACCTTTGCAACCAGCTTATATAAAGAGTTTCAAGTTCAAGGCACTTTGCCCACCATCATGTAGTTTCAATTTCAAGTCACTTGCCCTTGAGGTATCTACGCTACACCCAGTTGCTGCACAATATTTGAACTGCCAAGTTGAGCTCCAAACAATTACTGTCTACCCCTTTTGAATGGTGTATGGACCATTAAGTAGCTCCTCTACACAAGGCTTTTGGACGTCCACCTAAATTTAGAGCCGTCCCACCGCCGTCCACAGGTACCTGAGCTTCTGAAAACACCCTCCCTGGCGCAAAGCTGAAGCGTAAGCAACCACAGCACCCACCTGGCGAGGCAACCAAACATCCCCCACTTTTGGTGCACCAGTCAAAACTCAACTGTTCTTCTATGTCCAAAGTCACACTTAGACTTATACTCACGCAACACACTGATCAAGTCCGTGGCATCCCGTCTGATGTTGGACCTTACTCTTGAGATTCTTCAGACTGAACGCCCGGAGCGGTTTTTGACCCGTCGACAAACGGTCGAACACATCCCAAGCGTTCGGATCTGTCGGCCGAGCATGGGCCGAGCGACCTCCAGCTGCAAGGACCGCTGTGTGGCGTCCTTCATCAAAAGCATCGCCTCAGGGTGGGGAGTCCGGAAAACCGGGTGTTGTAACCAAAGTCCCAAGAAAACTCCTCTCAACACAAAGGGGTTGTTCCCATTTGCAGCCTGATTCTAGTTCCGAGTTCTCACTTCTCCAAGTTCTGAATTCTGGCCTGAAAGAGTGAAGAACCCTACTTGGTATCAATTGCCTCCCGGTTGCGAACCTCGGAACTAGTATTTTCGTTCCTCGAGCTTTGAACTGTTTATCTCCATAGGGGGGGGTAGAGTACGTTACTAGGAGGAAGGACGCTACTAGGGGCTCCTGGCCTTACTACTAGGAACAAGAAGCTACTGGGAGCTTTGTTCCGAGACACACTTTGCCAGGCTTCAATGGAGGCGCCAATGGCCGCACCAATGCACTCCGCGTCAGGCTGGAGTAGTTCCTGGCATCAAGAGCTCTATGACAAAAGCGATACCAAAGCTCACATCGCTGTGAAAGGATGTATTGAAATGATTGGCTCAGATCTCGAGGATGTCTAAGGGATCTAGAACACGTAGCCATAGCTATATAACTGACAGAAAGGCCAACTCACAGAAACACAAGGACCTGAAAGCTGGATATCAGCTTCACCTCCAAAACCCTTCAGAACTGGGATGAATATTTAAAAATTTTTAAAGCAACCATGTACTCCCTACAGAATCAACGAGGAAGCCGTTCTATATATGAGGTGTTCAACCAACTTTTGAAATTCAAAGTTTCCTCGGTCTATTTTCGGGAAATGAGCACGGTCATGAACTTTCTCTTTGACAGCGTCCTCGGCCAATCCCAATTGGTTGTTGATTCTGGAGAGTGTACTACTGCTTCACCAGAGTCAGGAAAGATCGACACAAAAGAACCATCGGAACACGGAGGATCTGTGGTATGTCCCAGCAAGTTACACACTCGTGGGCACCGCTTCGCAGTTCCCAATATTTCATGGGCGGCCGCAACACCCACCCAAAGTCCCCTCACCCTTTGCACGCAGGAAGCATCTCCACTGCTACCAATTTCACCCACCAAATCACAATCAACAACCCCTTCATCCACCGTCAACCTCAATCTTTCTAAGACCCCCAACATATGACATCAACAGCTCCGGCGTTAGTTCACACCAACTAGTGCGAAAGAAGCAGAGTACTATCATTGGTCGACCAATCACTGTCCACACTAAGAGCGAAAGCAACAAGGAAAACCTGTACACAGTAAGAAGGCATCTTGTCTCTCCAATGACCTTGGTGGCTCAGAAACAACTGGTACCGTGCCCAGCTTGTTCACTAATTCTCCCCACCTTCAAGGCACTCTGAAGGCACCTGCAAAGTGAGCTCGATGTGATTCAAATGCATGTGTCATGTTGCAAAGAAGCCCCAATCCCCACGAGCATCACAAAACCTTGTGAAGCCTCAGGAAGCCTCAGCCTGTTCTTCCCCTTGTTTTCCCACTCTCCTCTGCTCCTTCCTCAACCCCCACTCTCAACATCCTCACAGAGCTTCTGCCTCATAGCAAGGTTCCATGAAGATGTCGCCTCCTCAACAAAACGGTGGATGTCTTCACTTCATATGAGCAAGTCTTGTATGTGGTGAAGGATCTCCTTCCCGACTCCTTCCTGTTACCTCAATGGTGTCGTCCATTCACAGGGCCTACACAACCATAGGTCTTCAGGCAGAACCAGACGACCACTTCAGCCGAGACTCGCAAGCCCGCAAGGCAAGGCTGCAGGCGGCGGCCTGTCGTCTCCCCGGAGGTGACGTTCACAAAGCAGCTTCGTGGATTTGGAATCTCAAAAAAAGGATGCTGTTCGATGTCAAGCTCGTTTTGACATGCAGAGGAAGGTATCGTCGATCAACGTCTCTTGTTGCCCGCCTGCAAGGCTTGTTTCCTTTTTGGCCCGAGGCCCCTCCTCCCTACTTAATTAAGTAGGTGCCTACCCTACTTATATATTTATATAAGTAAGGAGGTAAGCTACTAGGCTAAGTTAGCTTCTAGTAACTGGACGCAGGATAGCTCACGCTTCCGTGAAGAAGCATTCGCACCAACGATTAGGGAAACTCGATGTTTACGGAAACTTAGCTAGCTTGATATTGCCTTCCACAGTTCAACTCACACTCACAGCTGTGCCGCTGGCTTCTCTCTTTCCGACAAAGTGGCATGGCTCTTCTTCGGTATAGCTGCCCAGCAAGCCAAAACCTGAAGACAAAGATCGAACAGAAACCGAAGGTGACTGGCTGTCTTCGTCACCTTTTGAAAGTGTGACCCAAAGCACCGTGCCAAAAATCCGACTTGATTGATAGCATTGATTAAGGCGAACCGAACATCTGCACATCAAATTGGCACATCAGACCTTCACAGGCTGTTCACAACGATCACATGCTGTCATCACCTGAGCCGTCGCTGTCAGTGATTGGCTCGGAATCGCTTTGTGCGAAATGTACAAACTGCTGCCAAGCTGCTGCTGCATAAGCAACTGCCGTGTCCAAACGTTCTTCATTGGCTTCTTGCAAAAGCCTTGGAAGGGAAACCCACCATGGCCCACATTGGTAAGGAATGGGCATGCAGCCAGTAAAAAACAAGCATACATGCAAAAAGACTTTTGGCTACCAATGCTTATCGCAATGATTTTTTGTGGCTACCAGAGGCACCTGATTTGAAGGGATCTCAACATACCAATGCTCTTGCTTCTGAAAACCAAGCCTTTTCCTCGGCCAAGTTGCGCGACGCTTAGCTCCCAATTGGAGCGGCATGCCTCGGGATGCGACAAATTGGTGAAGGCCGAAGACAGTGGACGTCACATATGCCGCATGACTCAAACTTTTTTTCTGTCAACCGGGGAGTCCTCTCTTTCGCTCTCGAGGTTTAGCATCTTTCACATTCCTGAGTCACAGAGTCTGAGGCCCCAAACACTGATCGCTGCATTCATGCAGATGGCATCACAACAGGAGTCTTTCCGGGCCTGGCACTACATCCAACATGACCACACAACACAGAAAGCCAGCAGCAAAACGCTGAGCAACTTACACCCGCTGTAAATGGAGAATAGATGACATGACGGCAGCAAAACTTGTCGACTGTCATGCCTGGCTTAGCAAGTGAAGTGCTTGCGGCCATGCCCCTCCTGGGATTTGACTTTGGACGTGAACAAGATATGACGTGCGCTTTAAAGTTTACGATGTCTGTCAGTCTCAACGACACATTCTGTGCATCTCTGGATGATCCCTCCGCTTCTGTTGAAAACGCTCTCCTCTAGAACACGCTGTGATTGCAGCACCTTGGCTTACAACTTGCTGCCCTCCACAAAACTTGTCCCAGGTTGGATGATTTCGCCATAGACTCTTTAGACTCAAAGAGTTTCAATTCTTCCCTTGTGAAAGCATGAATGCACAATGATCTTCCATGCTTGTTCGCTTAATCATGGTCTAAAAGTTTGTCCCCACTTGTTACTGTGAAGCAATTGGGCATCAGGCCATAAGTGAACATATTGCTGAGCTTGGAATTCTTTACGTGGAGGAAGATCTGCAGCACCCTGTCGGAACAGCTCACGACCCACAGCAGTCCAGTCCCCGATCCAATTATTGGCAAATTATTCAAGACATGAAAACAAGCTTTGCCTTTTCCGGGTTTGTACCATTTTGTACAATCCCCAAAACATTTCGGAAAAATGATTTCGGAAACATCGCCTTTCCCACTCCGTGGCATCACCACAGGCCGCCAGCATGCTGCCCATCGAGCGAGGTGAGGGCTTCCTGACAAGTGGGAGCATCGTCCGTTGAAGCATGTCGGTCCATGTGGGTTCGGGCGGCAAAAAACACTACAACACACGGACAGCTTCACGCACTTGTAAGGCGTTTCACGCTGTCCACCCAGGTTCAGGCTTCACCTTGCTGCAAAGCTTGAAGAGTCAACTTGGTGGTGCGTCTACATCGGCATCCCAAATGCAGCTCTGCAGTGGCAAGGCCTTTGAGCAAGCTGCAAAGACTTTGTCCATTCATTGGCATTTCCACAAGCTGCAACAGCCTCAAAGCAGACTCTCGCATTGGCAACTCTATTGGATTCCAGCTCTGCCATTCGGCATATCATCATTGCTTCTGAGTAGAAAATGAGCATTCGACAATCAAAACCCAGAACAACAATCAATCAACTCTTTGAAACAACTGCCCTGCCAAGCCACAGCGTTGAGGCTCATGACCTGCAGCTGGTCAAGTGCCTGGCACGAAGTGAACGGATCACCGTCCCGGTCGCCCGTCAGGTCACTCTCAGGTCATACTGGCATATATGGCTCGAGTCTCAGAACTGACTGAGGCGCTGAACTCAAACGTAACTGGTAATTCGGAGCAAGAACCAACTAAACAATAGGAGAAGAACATGTCTGCAAAAAAGATTACTCCAGCATAGACCCCAGATAGCAAAAGCATGCAAAAAATTTGTCTGGGCTGCACCCTGCATTGGCAGCAGCTCCAATTTTTACACGCAATACAGCGTGGCGTGTCTCCACTACGCGCACAGCCAGCGCCAGCACCCGGCACCAGCACCCAATCTGCACCACGCACACAACGAGCACCAGCCGCCACGCGCACAGCCAGCACCCGGCACCCTGTTTCCACCACGCGCACAGCCAGCTGACAGCACCCAGCACCAGCACCCAGCACCCGCACCCTGTTTGCACCACACGCACAGCCAGCTCACAGTCCACCACAACGGCGCCCAGCACTGGCACCCTGTCTCCACCACGCGCACAGCAGGGAATAACAACATATGATCTTGCGCGAAAAAATTTGTGCGCACAAAAGGTTACGCGCAAACAGCAAAGCCCGTACACCCTGTCTCCACGACGTGCACAGCAAGCTTGCAGCACCGGCGCCCAGCACCCTGCCTCACCACGCGCACAGCCAGCCAGCCAGCGCCCACAGCCAGCTCACAGCACCAGCACCAGCACCGACGCCCGGCGCCCTGTCTCCACCACGCGCACAGCCAGCCCCACCGGCACGCGCACGGCCAGCTCACAGCACCCGCCCTGGCACCCTGTCTCCATGCACCACGCGTACACCCAGCACCAGCACCGGCACCAGGACCCTGTTTCCACCACGCGCACAGCCAGCTCACAGCACCAGCACCGACGCCCAGCACCAGCACCGGCGCCCTGCACCAGCACCAGCAACCTGTCTCCACCACGTGCACAGCCCAGCACCGGCACCCGGCACCACCACCAGCAACCTGTCTCCACCACATGCGCAGCCAGCTCACAGCACCAGCGCCAGCACCTGTCTCCACCACGGGCACAGCCAGCTCACAGCACCAGCGCCGACACCCTGCCTCCACCGCGTGCACGCACCCGCCCCGGCACCCGGTCTCCATGCACCACGCGTGCACGCAGCACCAGCACCGGCGCTCTGTTTCCACCACGTGCGCAGCCAGCTCACAGCACCAGTGCGCACAGCCAGTTCACAGCGCCAGCACCGGCACCCGGCACCCTGTCTCGAAAGCGCGCACGGGCAACTCATATTTATTTGAAGTAAGAACCCCATAGCTTCGCTATCTGGGGAAATATATAACACCAGCATAGACCTAGATAGCTAGGCAGAATCCCACGACCTGTTGACATGCGACTGGCTGGAACAAGAATGCACGCAGCTTGCGCAGCCAGCTTACGGCACCTCCACAGCGCGCACAATCAGCTGACACCAGCACCGGTGCACTTTGCCAGCTGACAACACCGGCAGCGGCGCCAGCGCCCGACCAGCGCCGCCGCCCGTCTTAAACGCGCGCTCAGCCAGCTCACTACAGCGCCGACACCCTTTCGAAAGCGAGCGCAGCCAGCTCATTCTTATTTGCAGCAAGAACCCCATAGCTATCCCTATTTGGGGAATAAGTGGGAATAACAACGTATGATCTTGCGCGTATAAGTTTACGCGCACAAAAGCATGCGCGCAAACAGCAAAGCCGGTAAGTGTCATTGGCCCAAGGCCAAGCAGTATCCAGCGCCACTTTGTGGCATGCTTGAAGCAACGATCTGCAGAACAATAAGGCCGTATGATCTTGTGCGTATAAGTTTACGCGCGCAAAAGTATGCGCACAAACAGCAAAGCCCGTAGGCTTCACTGGCCCAAGGCCAAGCAGTATCCAGCACGACTATTGTGCGTGTGTAGCATGCTGAAACATGCTGAAACAAATTGTCGGTTGAGAGCCTGACGTTGCGCATCGAACATTATACGTGCAAAAGTATGCGCGCAAACGGTACCGGTACAGCCCTTGACACAGCTGTCGGCCAAAACAGAACCTGAGGAGTGTAAATACCCCACAGCGCTAATAGACAAAGAACGTTCAAGCGACACCACCGTATCATGTTGCGCGCATAAGTTTATGCGGCCCATGACTGATGGCACTTCGTTGTCAGAAGCGGCGCTTGGTCGCCCTTCACTGCTGCAAGCGGCGGTTTGTTACCCTTCGCTGTTAGAAGCGGCGGCTGTTATCACTTCACTGTCAGAAGCGGGCGCCAGCACCCAGCACCGGCACGCCAGCTCACGGCGCCCAGCACCAGCACCAGCACCCAGCACCGGCAGCCGGCACCAACCTGTCTCCGCCACGTGCGCAGCCAGCTCACAGCACCAGCACCAGCACCGGCGCCCAGCACCCAGCACCAGCACCGGCACCAGCAACCTGTCTCCACCACGTGCACAGCCAGCTCACAGCACCAGCACCGGCGCCCAGCACCCAGCACCAGCACCGGCACCAGCAACCTGTCTCCACCACGCGCGACAGCACCAGCACCAGCACCAGCACCGGCACCCGGCGCCAGCACCAGCACCGGCACCAGCAACCTGTCTCCACCACGTGCACAGCCAGCTCACAGCACCAGCACCGGCACCCGGCACCAGCACCAGCAACCTGTCTCGAAAGCGCGCACGGGCAACTCATTGTTATTTGAAGTAAGAACCATAGCTTCGCTATCTGGGGAAAAAATAAACATGCTAGATCTTTGTGGAGTCTTCGAATCTTCAACAACGACTTGCGCCATGAGACTGATTTTTGTTCATCTCATCTGGCAAAAACAAGAGGGACACCCAGCCTGCATTCTCGAAATCAGAAGGAGGGCCAACGGCCACTGTCGGATGGAATCCTTGACAAGTCTATCTAAAATCAATGTCCATTTGCAAGTCATTGCAAGTCCATGAGATGATTTATGTTGTTTCCAAGCAGTTATACGGTCGTTACGCGTCCATGAGATGAGTACATTCTTTCCAAGCAGTTAGTTCATGTGCGTGTATCGGTTCAAGAGTCCAAACAAACCATACTCCTGACAAACTTGGGATTGTCTATGCCCACGGCCCCTCACATGCGAACCGGGGCCCTTTTCGCAGCAAGTAGCAGTGCCAACAGCTGTTAGAAGCGCTGCATCACTGACAGCATTGGGAGTGATGCTGCCGGACTGCAAGTCCAGTGCAGTCCTGGCATTGGGTGTTTGAAGAATGAAAACAGATCCGAATAGCTATCATCTATCAATGGGTTGAAGAATGAATTTCAATATAACTTCCCTCTTTTCAGTCTCCTAAAGTACAAATCCCACTGTCCTCCACGAAACTGCCGTGCTGATGCCACTTAGCGTGAAGGCATCCGGCTTCAGGGCGGCCCATTGCAAAGCGAAAAAAGAGATGTGACCTCACAGCGAAACGGCAAAGAGGTCGAGTCGTCGGATGATGCAAAACACGCCGTCCGGAGGTTTGCGGGGTTTGCAGTCCACGTCACGAAGCTTGCCACAGCTTTGCCTCCAAAACAAAACTACATGGTCGAAGGGGACAGCTACATGAAGTGAACTTGATTGGGCCTCATTCTCATACATGAATTCGAATCAGCTTCAGATATTCTGCGAAATTATATGATTCTTCGTGTATTATTATGATTGTGTGTCGCTATGCCGTTGTTTGTGACCTTTGAGCTTTCAGCCTCAGAGCAGGCATCTAAGACCGTGTTGAAGGAGACCAAATCGGGCTCATGACGGCACAGCTGAAGTTCCTGCCACATGCTTCTGGCAATTGGTGCCCTTGATGCGAGGCCAGGAAGCGTCTTCATGCATGCATGTACTGCAAGTCATTTGTCACAACTTAGATACTAGCTAGAAAAATGTATGTAGCTCTTCAGTCGCTTCATTCATGGTCTCGAGACGTGTCATGACGACTTCTGCTTTGCCTTTAACAGCCTAAGCACTAGCTCTGCTTGGCCGGCGCGGCTGCAAGCCGCCATGACCTCACGGTGATGGAACAAAGAAGTGCCGGGTACAAGGGAAAAGTATAGACACAGAATTTCCTAGTTATTCTTAGATTATTTCCTGTCAAACCACTGAGATTGCAAATTTCCCTCAACATTCCCTTGGCAGTGTCTGACATGCTAGTCTCCCGACCCAAAACGGGATGACCCCACCAGCAAGAAAGCTGTTTTGCTTGATCCAGGTGACGGTGTTCCAGGAGATGACATCTGTGCGAGACCGTCTTTCCTGACCCACGCAGCTCAGCTGCATTCTTTGCTTGTTGACACCTCTTCACAATACCAAAAACAGCAGTCGTGAGCCCACAAAATCAACTGCCTGCCGGTGGGTAAGCTCTTCCTGCCTGTTGTGCCAAGGTCGCCCGTGCTCTCTGCCACCCAGAGAGAAGAAGGTGGGCCGAAAGGGCTGTGTTCGTGCTGACCACACTCCAACGACCAAATCGCAAGGCCTCAGCAGGACCCACTCCGGAAGCTTTCGTTTCGAATCAACAGTGGCCACCCTTTGCAAATCATCTGCTTTCTCGACCAATCTACTAAATCCACTATATAAGTCGACCAATCTAAGCATGTCCTTGCGAAGAACGAATCCTTGGTGGACTTCCAGCTGTCCCGCACCTCTTGCAAGACCTCCAAGGAGAGCTCCCAATGTTGCGTTGTGATCGAGCTTGCCACCTGAGGCGCTTTGGGCGCTGCAGCCATGGTTATGGGCGCTTTGGCGATTTGGGCGCTAGCGCCAGCCACTCAAGGCATCCAGTCAGCTTTCTCAATCAAGCTCGATGAAGAAAGGACTTGATGAAGCACATTTGGACTTGTACAAGTGGCCCTAGCAGCTTAAGGCTGGCAAGGGAGGATGATCCTGATGCCGAATGTAATGCCACCAAGCTGGCCTTTAAAGCTTCAATGGCATGAATAGGTAACACACCAAGTATTCACTTTCAATCGTTGAACCATCCATTCTCATGCACCTGATTGGAGAGCTGCACGCTGACCAGAGAGTCTGGTACTCCACAAAGGACTTGGAGACACCTGAAACCACTGGTGCTGCTGGGAGCGGAAGAAAACTGCTCGTCGCATATATGTCGCATTGCTTGTGTGGCTTGGACCGCGTGGCTCGCTCCTCTTCCAGCTTTGCCCATCAGCAGGTCTCTTTGCAGCTTTGACCAAGCGGCCATAGAGCTGTGACCTGAGAGCGAAGGAATTTCCATGATGCAATGATGCTCTAGCTCTTCTATCTGTGAAACATGTCATGTCCCAGGGGTGAGGTCCATGTGAGGTGCGTATCATCTTAAAACCATGCAGAGAACACATCTGACAGTCATTGGAGTGCCCTACAAGTCTGGTAGGCTTAAGATTCTGGCGACGTCTCCAAAGCGGCCTGCGGTCAGAGACAAGTCAAGCTTCTGGAGTCTTTGGGTCTTTGGGGCAAAGCCAGAAGAACTAGAAGGACACGGGGTTTGAAGGAAATTCAAACTTGAAGTCCTTCCGGGACATCAGGACATCACCTCTGCCAAAGGCACCAAGCGCTATGGTCACTTAGCTTGTCGCCGCAAGATCTTGGGAACTTTGCATATTTTTCAGCCTCACGACTCTGCTGGAGCCATTGGAAAGCTCCTCTCCAGCCAGACTTGGCCTGAAAGCGCAAGGAATCCGCCAGCCTGGGTGACGAGGTCACGGGGATTGGGATTGCATGGGCCTTGTCCCACGAAAGCTTCAAGATTGTTAGTTCGGAAATCCTTTTGGACTTCTACTGAGTTTGCCAATTCCCGTACAATCAGGAAGCCCTTGCATGCTCATCATTCCAAACATCAGCAAAGGCAGCTCTAACCACGCCCAAAAGAAAGCAGACAGAGGACAACTGAGCAGCATCCTGTTTCCCACAGTGCCCCTTGTGCCATGCCTGAGTCCCCTGACGTACGCGCTGGAACGGAAACCCCATCGGCCATGACATGGCGACTCAGCGCCGTTCAAAATCCGAAAAGGGCTTGATGAAATGGCTTGCATCTGGGGTTTGGTCTATGTTGTCTGTTCGCTGAAACTTGCAAAAATGCAAGGAATGATGTCCTAAGACCTAAGACGATGTCCTGCAGTTTTGGTGTTCCCAGTGCGTAGTGCTGAAGCCCAATCCCCTCCATAGCTCTTCAAAACTTCTTGACAAAGCAAAAAGGAACTGGACACATGACTGAACCTTGAGACATCATAGCGGCATGCGTAACACTATATAATCACTTTAAACAGATTTAAAAACACTCGAAAATTTGTCGCACTGTCATGAGCATATTGAGCTAACAAATTTGACATAGCTTGGATCCTGCACACAAGAACGGATCGCTGCCAACTAGCCTTCGTGCAAGAATGAAAATAGAGACTAAATGCTAGAATCTTAGAAGTAACAAGGACATAAATTCCAATTATCTAATGCTTTGCAGCCCCTGGGTCTCTATCATGTGCCTGCAGCCCACATGTCCACAGGAGAATCCCAGTCCAATCCGAGGACCAGCTCAGGACCTGAAGGTGCTAACAAGTTATGATGCTCCAGAAAGCACTGAGGGTTCTCTATCTAGTGTCCAGCAGAACCCTGCCTCCTTGAGTTTTGCTTGAACAATTTGTACTTCTAAAGGCTTGTGGCGTTGGACAAGAAAGTGCCACATGGAGAGTAGCTTTCCATAACCCTTCAAAGGTCCTTGATCCTGGCCTGGATGATCTACAAAGAGTCGAGTCTTCATGGCTGAGTGTTTAAAGTGCTGATGATGCAACACAGGACGGCTGCATTGTTGACATTTCTTAAGTTGATGTTCAATGATTGAAGCTTTCAACACAAAGGCAAGAGAGAGAGAGATAGATAGATAGATAGATAGATAGACAGACAGACAGATAGATAGATAGATAGACAGATAGCTATATAGATAGATAGATATCTAGCTAGCTAGCTAGCTAGCTAGCTAGGTAGGTAGGTAGGTAGGCAGGTATATAGATAGATCAATTTTAGCTTAGATTAGATTAGATTGGATGGGTGGATGGATGGATGGATGGATAGACAAATAGATAGACAGATAGATAGACAAATTGATAAATAGATATAAAATGATATAAATAGATAGAGGGAGAGAGATAGAGAGAGAGAGAGAGATAGAGAGAGGAGGGAGAGAGAGAGAGAGAGACCGACCAGGGAGGGAGGGAGGGAGGGAGGGAGGGAGGGAGGGAGGGAGGGAGGGAAAAAGAAGATTTGAGTTTAGATTTACTCGCCTTTCCATTGGCAAACTGGGCCTGAGCCAGCAAAAACATTGACGTAAAACCTGTCAAAACTAAACCCTCAGTGTGGACCATGACAATGAAAGTTGTGAAAGTAGGCATGAGAAACTCTTGCCAGTTGCCTGAACTTCTCCCCTCCCCATGAGAGTGTATACCCCACTAGGGTGCCTGGCCACGAAATTGCCGCGTACCAGCACGGCCGCGAGAGCAATCATCACTTTGGTGCACACAGCCACCAAAGTCGATGAGGGAGATACTGCCTGAGTTTGATCTAGGTTCGACATTTGGCGGCCACTTCGGTCAAAGTTGGGCCAAGAGCAAACGATAGGAAGCCCAACGAAAATTTTGGAGTGGTCCCTAACATCAGTTTTCATCAAAGAACATTGACACTTTAACCACAGCACTTGGTCAGATGACTTCACTTGTCAAGTCTGCCTTCTCTCAAATTCATTTGGTTTTTTGTACTCCACTCCAAGGAATCCAAGGTGCAGTCGGTTGGCCTCATCGTTGCAAGGCCAGGCTCCTGGAGGACCATCCGTCGGCACAGGAGAAATCCGATGGTGAAGCGAGTCAGGCCGTGGAGATACAAGCGAGTAACACGAAGCACAAAGGATGTTAATGCAACGACATGAGGAGCGGTCAAAACTTGTTGGTCTTCTCAGAGTTGAGGTGCGCCATTACCCCTCCCCTAAAGTGGTCTTCGCAAGTTTTGATCGTGGCTCACATGATGAATATGTTGCCTTTTCAAGACCCAAGCAATGACGGCAGAGAGAGAGAGAGAGAGTGGTGTGGAGTCTGCATTGCAGAGTTTTTCAATCTGCGGGAAGTGGGGGAGGAAGCAACACTGTCGTGGCGCTTTGAGATCTCAGCGACAATGCTGCTTGCTCATGTATCACCATGCTGGCAAAAGAATCAAATGGACTCATCCTACTGTGGAAATGGGACACACAAATAGGTCAGCAAGTTCAGAGTCTGATCGGATGCTACCCTTCCGAAGGGCTCTCCCTGGGTGAAGGCGCAGAAAAGTGACTGCTGTGACGTAGCATCACATTGCGACATTTCCTAAGTGGGCAGAATGGACATGGGCAAAGAAAACAAGTAAAACAAACTACGTGCAGTGCAATGGGTAAGGGATCAAAAAAAA